CGCAGCTTCGGCTGCGCGTCGCCGAGCCGCGGCCGGAGCTCGCGGGCCACCGCGAGCGCGTCCGCGTCGCCCCGCGCGTCGAGCCAGCCGCCGGCCCTGGCGCACGCGGCGACGAGCGCCTCGAGCGCCTCCTTGCGCCGCTTCCAGGCCGTCTTGTCGCTGGCGTCGCGCAGCGCGGCCCGCAGCTTCGGCGGCGCGAGGTCGCCCGCGCGCGACACGCCCTCGAGCGCCGGCGGCGGCGCGGCCGCGGCCGCGGGCGCGTCGGCGACGAGCGTCGTTTTCGCCGTCTGCAGGTTCGCGGGCGGCGGCCGCGCGCCGCGCGCCGCCGCGCGGCTCGCGCGCGCGGCGGCGGCGCGCTCATCGACCTTGGCGCGCGCGCGCTTGTCGAGGCCCTTCAAGGCCTTGTCGACGTCGGCCTTGGGCCGCGCGGCGAGGGCGCCCAGGAGCTCCACCGCGGCGCCCCGGAGCGCGGCGTCGCGGTCGCCGCAGTCCGCGGCGGCGAGCGCCGCGTAGTCCCGGACGACCTCGGGTCTCGCGCGCCGCGCGGCGCCCGCGTGCGCCGCGAGCCAGTCGAGGACCGCCGCGCGCCCAAAGGGCGGCAGCCGCTTCTTGCCGTCGTCGCCGTCGCTCCGGAGGCACGGGCCGACGGCGGCCGCGAGGCCGTCCTCGAAGACGAGCTCCGGCGACGCCGCGGCGATCGCGTCGAGCGCCGCGCGCGCCTCGGCGGCGCCGCGCTTGTCCCGGAGCCGCCCGAAAAGCGCGCGCGCGGCGTCGTGGCGGCCGCCGACGACGGACGCGAGCGCGCCCAAACACGCGACGGCCGCGCCGCGGACCTTGGCGTGCGCGTCGTTCGCGCAGACGCGCGCCACGGCGGCGACCAGGTTCTCGTCGCGGCCCGCGTCGCCGGGTACGAAGGATCCGGCGATGGCGTCCAGCGCGTCCTTGCGCGCGAGCCAGTTTTCGAGTTTCGCGAAAGCGTCGTCGAAGGGCTCCGCGAGGCCCAAAGTTTCCAACACCTCCGCGAAGTCGCCGCCGTCGCCCGGGGGCGGCGGCGGCGCGTCGACGACCTTGGCGGCCGGCGGCGGCGCGTTCTCGTCGTTGACGCGCTTCGGCTCCGGCGCCGCGTCCGGCGCGCCGCCGCTCGCGCGGAGCTTGTCGACGGCCTTGCGCGCCGGGCCCTTGAGCCGTTCCACGAGCGCCTCGCCGCGCGCCGCGTCCGCGCGCTCGACGGCGAGCACGACCTCCGCGGCCGCGGACCGCGCCTCGGGCGACGCGGCCTCGGAGAGCGCGACGACGGTCGCGTCGAGCGCGGGCCGCGCGCGCAGCCACGACGCGGGCATCGCGCAGGGGCCCGCGAGCGCGCGCGCGCAGGCCGCGGGCGCCTTGCCGTTGCCCCGCGTCTTCCCCGGCGCGAGCCCCGCGACGAGCGCGTCGAGCGTCGCCTCCCGGACGTCCGCCCGGCCGTAGAACGCCTCGAGCGCCGCGAGCCCGCGCCGGCCCGTCGCCGCGCGGCTCGACGCGAGGCCCTTGGTGATGATCGCGGCGACGACGGACGGGTCGCCGGCCACGGCGTCCGCGACGGGCGCGCCGGACGTCGCCCAGCGCGCCAGGGCGTCGAGGGCCGCGTCGACGACCGCGCCGTTGTTCTCCTTGGCCAGGGCCGCGGCGTTTGGCTCCGCGTCGAAGGTCGAGAGCTGCTCCCAGGCCTCGCGGCGGTCCTGCCACTTGGCGGCGGTGATGGAGGGCTCCATGGCGCTTCAGCGGCCGGGCGCTGTCGGCGCGGGAGGCGCGGGCGCTGGAGCGGGCGGCGCCGGCGCGGGAGGCCCAAACCGCCTCGAGCCTCGGGAATCGCGCTGGAGCCGTCTTGAGTGGTGGGGGGGCACTGAGCGACGCAAGGCGGCGATGCACGCCCCTGCTTCGTCATCGTCCTCGCGCGCCACGACCAGACCAGGCCCTTCGTCGTGGGCTTCTCAACGTCGAGCTTCAACGGCACGGGCCACTTCGCGTACAAGGGCGACGACAAGCTCGCGGACGCGACGGCGCGCGCGTGCGCCGCCGGCAAATACCATGTAATATGCCCACTGCCATGAGCCAGGTCTCCACGAGGCACCCGATGGACAGCCCGAGGCGCGCCGGCGCCTGAAGTTGCCACGGGTGAGGCGATGGCCGAAGGAACGACGCTCGAGCAGGCGAGACGTCCTCGTCGGGCGCGAGGTGGCCGTCGATGGGGTCCGTTGCCGCGTCGGCGACGCTCGTCTTCCCGGTGGAGCTAACGACGTCCTCGCCATCGACCTGCTCGTCGGGAAAGGCGCTGACGTGGACTGCGACGGCTCCCTGCGAATCCTCGCGCTGCCGCCGGCGCTCGTCGTCGCCGCCGCCAAGGGCCACACCACCGCCGCACGCCGCGGCCGCCTCCTCGAGTACGGCGCCGACGTCGACGGCAAGCACTACGCCCCCGTGCCGGTCCACGCCGGCCCCGCGCTCGTCGAGGCCGTGCAGCACGGCCACCACGCCGTGCTCAAACTGCCGGCTCGCGCGCGGCGCGCGCGCCAAGCCGACCTTCACAGCAAAGAGCATCGGATGACTTTTTGAGCCGCAGCAACGGTGTGTACCGCCGTCTCCGTCGTCGCCTCGGCGAGGCGCGGCACCCGGCGCCTGCGCCCACTTACCACCGCGCAGCGCCGCGACGCGCCGAAACCCCGCTCGGAAGCCGCTCGCACGCCGGGCGCGGCCGCCGGCGCCGCGCGGCGCGCCGTGAACGGTTCCCGAGGTGGACTTCACGTGACACCATGGACATCGAGCAGACGCTCGAGAACCTGACGCTGAACAAGGGCAAGCTCGACTACGCGACGATCCTCAAGCTGCAGGAGACGCTCGCGGACGCGTGCCGGATCCACGACGAGACGCACGCGGACGAGATGGCGGCCGTGCTCGAGAAGATGCGGCTGCGCGGGTCCGAGGGCGCGGCCGACGCCGCGGCGCCCCAGCCCGCCTACGACTTCACGTCGCCGGGCCGCGGCGCCGCGAGCGACGCGCAGTGGTCGCCGACGCCGCTCGGCGCGGACGGCGAGCGGTCCGTCGAGCGCGCCATGTTCGGGTCCGCGTTCTCTCCCGCGAAGCGCGGTCGCCGGGGATCCTCAGAG